TGGCTTCTTTTCCTGCTAGCAAACGTGAAGATAGAGCCAAAGGAAGAATAACGAAATAAGTAAAGAAGAATGTTCCATTTATCAAACACGGACAAGAATTTTAAAATACATTTTTAAATATTCTTAGAGTTCCTGAACATCTGAGCAGTTTCCATCCACTTTGACTTTCTTTGCTAGAAATACAGGAGAGTGGCAAGAACTTTGCTTTCAACGTTTTTTATTTTCAGCTAGACAATTTGTCACAAATGAAGGCGAATATACATTTTATATGTGCCCATATATAGTAACAGCTAATAATCTAAAAGCCAGCCACCAACACACCCCAATCCACATCCCAAAAGCCAAAAAATTATGTAACCTCTTTATGGGCGCTTGGGAACCGGATGGCTTTTAAGACTACTTGCGTGATCCTGCAGCCGTGGGATCCCAATTTTTCTTTTTCTACTAGTTCCTGGCATTCTTTTTGCCACTTTTTATATTAAAAAAAGACATTTAGAAGAATGGCTTTATACTTAGGATTACAGTGATTTTTTTAATGACCAGAAATATGTCAGAAAATCAGCTCCAATATATATGGGTGCCTCGACTAACAACCGTAACAACTTATCCACCGGAAATCTGTTCCCAATTACGACTGTAAGTCAAGACTAGTTGCACTCTGCAAAACATTATCTACTCTGCCCATCACTTATAACTCTTTTCTCTTGTGTAATCACTCTGTTAATGTACTAGCGCTGCTGCTTTGTGTGCCAAACTTTTTAACACTCCCAACATTTATGTAGTTTTCCTTGATTATGGTATTTAAGGCTACTTGAATAGGAAAAACATTTTCCCCACACCAAACAATAGTAGGATTTCCCTTCTGTCACTGTGTGATGTTCCTGGTTAATGTTAAAATGTGACTTTTGAAAAAAAATGTTTCCAACATTCACAACAGAAGAGGTTTATCTCTGCTATGGACATTTGGATGCATTTTTAACTCTGATTTACAATGAAAAGGTTTCTCACACTCTACACACTTATAAGGCCACTATCCTGGGTGATTTCTGGTGTGCATGCGAAGTGATGTAGGTTGGGCAAAACATTTCCCACACTCCAGGCATTTGTATGGTTTCTCTCCAGTGTGGGTTCTCTGATGCATCACAAGAGTACTTTTCCGAGAAAAACATTTATCGCACTCCGAGCATTTATGGGGCTTTTCTCCTGTATGGATTCGGCTGTGTTTTCTGAAGGAAGATGCATGAGCAAATGTTCTCCCACAGTCTAAACATTTGTAGTTTTTTTCCCCTGTGTGAATTTTCACATGACTTTTAAGGGCGGATGAGGTACGATAGAATCGTCCACATTCGTTGCATTGATGTGGCTTCTCCCCTGTGTGGGTTTTATGATGGATCCAAAGGGCTCCCTTTTGAGTAAAACACTTTCCACATTCTACGCATCTGTATGGCTTCTCTCCTGTGTGGACCCTCTGATGCGTTCCAAGGTGTTCCTTTCGTGAAAAACATGTCCCACACTCCCCACATTTGAATGGTTTTTCCCCTGTGTGGATTCTCTCATGAATCTTAAGCTCTGTTTGTGTAAGAAAACCTTTCCCACATTCCCCACATTGATAGGGTTTCTCCCCTTTGTGCCTCTTCTGGTGTTCCCGAAGTCCAGCAGAACAGGTAAATCGTCTCTCACATTCTGGACATTCGTAGGGTCTCTCTCTCGTGTGAATTCTCTGATGTCGCACCAGGCTTGATTTCGAGGTAAAACATTTCCCACATTCGAGACACTTTTCATTTTTCTCCCCTCTGTGTGTTTTCTCATGAGTCTGAAGATCTGAACTCAGGGTGAAACTTTTCCCACACTCAAAGCATTTGTAAGGTTTGATTCCCGCATGAATCTTCTCATGGCGCCAAAGATATGAATTCCGAGAAAAGCTCTTCCCACATTCCCAACACGTGTAAGGTTTCTCCCCTGTGTGAATTCTCTCATGGTCTCTGAGAGTGCGTTTTTTACTGAAAAAATTCCCACATTCCAGACACTGATAGGGTTTCTCTCCCGTGTGGATTTTCTGATGGATAAGAAGGTCTGACCTTTGACCAAAGCATAAGTCACATTTTATACATCTATAGGGTTTTAGTCTGGGGGGGTTTCTGAGACCTTTGGTGTCTGTTCCAGAGGATTTCTCACCCTCCAAACCTTGACTGGATCCACCTCCCATATGGGCTTTCTTGTGGGTAAAAAGCACTGATCTGCGAGAAAAGGATTTCCCACACTCTGAGCATTCATGGGGTTTTTTGTGGTTTTCCGGAGTGCTGATTGTGTCTGATGGGGGATCCAAGAGTTTCCCAGGCTCCATCCTTTCTGTTGACTGCTGCCTTGTGTTGATTTTCTATTATGTGTTGATAGTTGACTTGCAGGTGAATCTTTGGTCAGAGTTGTTTTATCTGTTGGTGGAAAAAGAAAGAAGAGGAGAATAATGTTTCCTTTTTTTTCTTTCAAATTTTTATTAATTTTTCATGAAAACATAATACAAATATGATGCTTTTAATTAAAACAAAAAAAAAGAGCTATTCAAATCATTCTCGGAAATGATCAGCGATCCCCCCTACAACCCCCCTCACTCCCCCACCCTACCTACTTTCCTCTTCCTTCCTTCCTTCCCTCGAACCCACAACCTCTCCTCCTTCCTCCTTTCCAACTGTCCTACACATCCCATCCCCTTCTTTTTCCTCTTCCTCGGATGCAGTTTAGGGTACTAGCCGATCATCTCCTCTATTTACATTATTTTTCTATAAAGAATAAATACACCAAATTTTATATGATTCTTCATCCCTTTCCGCCTTCCCCCCCCCCCCGACTTCCCAGAACTAAATACAGGAATAGTCACGTAAACAACCGAAATCTAACTAAAACAATCCAATTATAATACATACAAGTATTAATTTACTTTAACTCTAATAAACAATAACAAACTTAACTATAAAATGCATATATAAGTCATATAAAATATATAAACTTTAACTCAAATAATAATAAAAAGCAACAAAAATTATGTACTACATATTTTAGCTCCAAAACTCAAAATATAATTATCCATCTTCCCCAAATCCAAATATCTAAAAATTAAACTTTACCATTTCTACAAAAATAAAAAGTAAAAATTAGCTACTAATCTTACTGCTATTAATCATCCAAGTATCTTAAACCCATTAAATACCATCTTTAACTTCCTTTAAAACAGTATAAATCCTTTAAAATAATACAATTATATATCATTGATCATCTAAACTCTTTTTTGATCTCAAATACTTGTCTTTTAAATAAAATTTTCTTTCTTTTTTTACAACAAATTCTAATATATCCCTAAAAAGTCATAATTTCAAATACTTCAATCCTTTAAATAAAATTTTCTTTCTTATTAATTCAAATAATATATACCCAAGAGATCAATCAAATATTTTAACTGAATCATAATCTCTAATTTTTTTTAATTCATACTTTCAGTCTAAAACAATATAGTCCTTTAAAACAATAAAAAATTCTTCAAACATTAAAATATTCTTTCTTTTTACAATACTTTCTAAAGACCATTAATATTCCAAATCAAAAATTTTGAAAATAAAAAACTTTCAAAACATTCATATAAGTTTATCCTCCTGGATCTCTTCACTCTACAAGTCCAAAGTTTTAGAGTATAAGACTTCAAAAGCATTCTTCTTTTTTTTATAACAAATTCAAACCATTAATATTGCAAATCCAAAATCTTAGAAATATAAACTTCAAAGACAATCCTTATTAGTTCCCAGCTCCTCCATCTTACATCCCCCCCCCCCCCCGGTTTTGAAGCCTTTTGTTACTCTTTCTCTTTTCTTCCATAAACAATCCTTGCTTCCATTCTTTTTCACATTGCTGCTAACAAATCAACCTTCAGAATCGATGAGTCTTCTGCCTTTTTCATTAACAATTTGTAACGTGTCCGAAATTTCTGCAAGTAGTAAGCCTGTATGATTCCATTATAGCAAGATCTTCTGAAAGCACAAACAGCAACATCTCCAGCTGGTTTTTTCTGATGCACGACCCATAAATTAATTCTATAAAATTCTATATACACCAGGACCATGACTGAATCTGTTACAGCTTCCTTTCCCAGCTTTTCATGCTTATCATTTTCCAGATCTCTACCATATAACATATCATTTTGGGTTATTTCCATAACATCTTCTTCAACATTTTCCACCCGTTGCTCTGTACAATCTGGAACTATGAAACTCTGAAAAACAGATGCCACAGTTTCATATAATCCTTCCAATTTCTTAACCCAGAGATCTTTGACTTCCACAATAAATTGCTTTGCTGCTTGCTTCAAAACATGTTTCCTTTTAACAATGGTAGAGAATGACAAAATCTTAGCCTTGGAAGGGACCATGAAGGTCTTCCAATCCACCCTCTGACCAGGGCAGGGGTCCGCAGTACAGCCCAGACAAAACCTCCATTGATTCCATCACCCCAGATCCCTCGGAGGCAAACTCTCCTGCTGTTCACTGACTCTATCTTTTCCTCCTTGGTTTTTGTCCTATGACGAGGTGAAAAAGAATCTCTGAAACTTTAGGTAGTCCTCAACATATGACCAAAATCGGGACTGAAATCTCGGTGAGTCCAGGGAAGTAGGAGTTATGTGAGGGTCACACGGCCACTTCACTCACCAAGCGCAATCCCACACTGCTGCTTACAGTCATTAAATCATCTTGAGGGTTCTTAAGTGGAGGAAGGCCCAGGCAAGGGATGTGGGGGTGTCTGGGGGTGGGCTGGTCCTAGAGACCAGGCACAGGCCCTCCCCCATGAGTTGGGGGGTGCTGAAGTGGGATGCACAGCTGCAGCCACCCAAGGAAGCCTGAGCCGCCCCATCCAGCCCATGAAAAGCATCCCTGATTGACAGCAATCCTGGGGCTGGCCCTTAAGTGGAGGCCTGGGGCCTTCAGCCCTTTCAACCAGTGGCCACTGACCCCAGGCCTGGACTTTAGCCCAGTGTCACCGCGGCCACTGAGAAATGAGGCGTTAATCCCCATACGGGAGGCCTTTGCAGCCTTGCGCCATTCTCCAAGCCGCATGTTCCATACATGTTTCCAAGCCACGTGCCCCAAAGTCAATGTGTCCCTGAAGTCAAAAGTAGCCTGTGCTGGGACTCACATGGCCTCTCCTGTCCATTTCAGACAACCCCACATTCGTCTGCTTAACGACATGTGAAATCGGCTTCCTTGGCTTAAGCCGCTGAAACAGATGTAATTCACTTTATCCCTTTATCTCTTGCCCGTCTAGACTCTAGAGCAGACATGCGAACTATGGTGAAACGCATTCAGTCTTAGCTCCACAAGGCCGTTTGGAAACAGTGAGGAACCAGCCCCTGCTGAGTCAGCCCTGCCCCCTGGGTGCATGCTGGGGAGGTGTCACCCTTTGTGAGGAATGAAGAAATGCACCATCGCCTGGAAGTGGCCAGCAAATGGCCCTCGCCTACTTCACATATCCGGCTTGATGGGCTCTGGGGGAGGGGTTTCAGCAGGCAGCTGGGCGCTCTCACAGCACCGAGAGGCTGAGCTGGGTGGCGCAAATTGAAAAAGAAACATGAGGCCGCCCAGATCCCAGCCTGCCTGATTTCAGCAGGCAGCAGGGCGCTCTCCTCACAGCGCCAAGAGCTGAACCGGGCAGCCTAAATCCAAAAAGAAGCGCGGTGCTGCCCAACCCCCAGCCTGCCCAGTTTCAGCAGGTAGCAAGGTGCAAAGCTGGTGAGGTTTGTACTGCCCGGCTCAACCTCTCGGCACTGTGAGGAGAGCGCCCCGCTGCCTGCTGAAACCGGGCAGGCTGGGGGCTAGGCGGCATTGCGCTGACTCTCACGCTGCTCATGGCATCCCCTCCCCCAGAGCCCACCAAGCCAGATTTGTGAAGTAGGCGAGGGTGATGTGCTGGCCACTTCCAGGCGATGGTGCATTTCTTCATTCCTCACGAAGGGTGACACTTGCCGAGCTGCGTTTCTTGCCTGTTTTTCTCCCTCCCTCACCTCAAATATTTTCCCACCGCTCTGTAGTTAGGAAGGAAAGAAGGAAAGAAGGAGAGGGGGGGTTTGAGGGAAGTCCTGCCTTAGTCCTGCCCTGCTGCCCTTTCACCATCCCCTTGCCCCCTCCTCCTGGCCTATCCTGGGGGTCTCCCATCCTATTGCTAAGGAAACTTAGGATACAAAGCCGGGTCTCCTCCCATGGAGAGGGAATGGGCCTCCCTCTGACTTTGCCCTCGTACCCATCATGAGCAACCTGGGTAAGGAGAGCAAGTATAGAAGCAGCAGCCTTGAGGAGGAGGCAAGTGCAGCTGGGTGCCCCCTTGGGGAAGTGGGGCTGGGTTTGGTGCCGCAGGTGCTCGAGGGACAGGCTGGGCGTTTGACCTCTGCTGTCCAGGGCTCCCTGCAGCCCGCACCACCATCCAGCCCCCCCCCCCCCGCATGGCCTGAGAGGAATAGTGAGGCTCCTGCAGTGGACCATGCCTTGGCACTTGCCCTGGTCCCACCTCCTTCTGCCAGAGACCCTCAGATCTGTCCCACTCCTGCCCAGGCCCCCACAGGCACCCTTGACACGAACGATGTAGAGCTAGCAACACCCACCCAGTAGGCCACATCCACTCCATCCACATCCACCCAGTAGGCACAACCCACCCTGGCCACACACACACACACACACACACACACACACACACACACACACACACACACACACACACACAGGCAACCCCAATGCTGATGGGGCCCTGGATGAAATTGAGTTTGACACCTCTGCTCTAGAGCCTCTGGGAAGCCATTTCTGCAGATTAACAGGCTGCAATCCTTGTTTCTGCTTTCCCAACAATGAAAGCTATTCAAGGCCTCTGATTGCAACATTTCAGCTTTTTCTTTAGGCTAAAGCCGGGGGGGGGGGCAGTCTGCCGGAGGCTATTTATCAGGCAGCTTCGAGTGGAAGGGAAAAACCGGAGACGGTGTTACTTTCTACCTTTTGTGGCTCGTGCAATTTACTCTCCCGAGGGATCCGGCGCCGACCCTGCCAGGGCGAAGCGAGACAGAGGAACCCGGGAGGCGGATGCCCAGCGGAGAAACAGGGAGTCCCGGCTGGGAAGGCGGAAAGGGGGAGGGAGGGAAAGAGGAGAGGAGGCTGCCAAGGGGCGGGGCTGTAAGGCGTGGGCGGAGCCCAGGAGGAGAGCAGAAGCCCCGCCCCCTCCCACTCGCTGGATTTCCGCTTCCCTCCACGTGTCTCGCTTCGCCCTGGGAGGATCGGCGCTGGATCCCTCGGGAGAGGCTTCTGGATCCCGCTCGGGGCAGGTCTGGCTGCTCCCCCTCCGGCCTTTGGGGCGCCCCTCCCGCCAGGAGATCTTTCCCCCCCCCGCCAGGAGAAAGGTAGCTGCGGATCCGCCTCTCCGGCTTCCCGGGTTTTCCTTGGGGAGATTCGGCTCTGGCGTCGCCTGCAGGGAGCGGATCCCTCCCTTCCCTCCAGGGGGGCAAAGGGGGTCCCTCCCTCCCCGGGCTGGATCTGCCCCCTCCTCGCCCGGCCAGGGCTCTCCGTGGGGCTCCGGGTGGATCCGGGAAGGAGCTTTTGGGGAACTTGCTCCAGAAGGTCTCTCTGCGGTCCGTCACGTGCAGCTACAAAAATGTTGCAAACGGAGCTTTAAAAGATGTAATGAGATTTGTAATGTGATTTTTTTAAAACGGACTGACCTCATTGCGATAGCGAAGGGAATCTTTGGGGGAAAGAAAAGGGTTAAATTAACTGAATGGAGTTCATTGTTTTCTTAACCCACAAACATCCCCCTTTCTTTGAGTTCAGTGTAAAAGGCGAAAAAGAAAATCCTTTGTGTGTAGGGTTGTAGGACGAAAACGAACCCCGCCTCTCCGGAAAAAGCCTCCCCCCCATTTATAATTAAAGTCTTTTAAGACATAGAAAAGCCAAAGTAAATTGCACAAGCCACAAAAGGTTAAAAGTAACACCATCTCCCTTTTTCCCCTTCCACTCGAAGCTGCCTCTGGCAGACTGGCCCCGGCTTTAGCCTAAAGAAAAAGCTGAAATGTTGCAATCAGAGGCCTTGAATAGCTTTAATTGTTGTGAAAGCAGAAACAAGGACTGCAGCCTGTTAATGTGCAGAAATGGCTCTCCAGAGGCTCTAGACGGGCTAGAGATAAGGGGTGTCAAACTCAGTTTCATTGAGGGTCGCATCAGCATCGTGGTTGCCATTGGGGGGCTGGGTGGGTGTGGCTGGCATGGGCTTGCCCTACCGGGTGGGCGTGACCAGCTCCATGTCACTCATGTCAGGGGCACCTGTGGGGGCCTGGGCAGGAATGAGGCGCATCCGAGGGTGGGGAAGGGTGGGTGGGACAGGGGGCGAGCGCCAGGGCATGGTCCACTGGAGGAGCCTCACAGAGCCTCAGGCTGTGCACGAGGCCCCTGGACAGTGGCATGGACTGCCCAGAGCCCTGGGCAGCAGAGGTCAAGTGCCCAGCCCGGCCCTTGAGCTCCCACAGCCCTGCCTAGCCTAGCTGCACTTCCCCGAGGGGGCGCCCAGCTGCATCTACCTCCTCCTCAATGCTGCTGCTGCTATGCTCACTCTCCTTGGCCAGGTTGCTCATGGTGGGTGCAGGAGGACAAAGTGCGTGGGTCACAGGGAGGCCCCCTCCTCTCCATGCGAGGAAACCTGGCTTTGTAACCAAAGCATCCTCAGCAATAGGATGGGAGACCACCAGGGGATGGCAAAAGAACAACAGGGCTGCTGGTGGCCAAGCGCTAAAGCAGGACTTCCCTCAGTCCCACCCTTCCTTCCTTCCTCCCTCCTCTCCTTTCTTTTTTTCTTTCCTTCCTTCTCTTTCCTTCTTTCCTTCCTTCTTCCCTCCCCTTCTTCCCTGCCTCCCTCCTTTTCATTCCCATCTCCTTCCTTCCTTCCCTTACTTTTTTCCTGTTTCCCTCCCCTCCTTCCTTCATTCATTCATTCCTTCCTTCCTTCTCTCTGTGCCCAGGAATGGATGAGGAGAGGGGGAGAGGTTGGCAGCACTTCTCTCAAAGAATAAGAGTTGGAAGAGACCTTTGAGGTCTTTAATCCAAGCTCCTGCTCAAGCAGGGGACATATACCGCTCCAGACAATGGAATATCCAATCTCTACTAAAAGCCTCCAGTGATGGAGCATCCACAACTTCTGAAGGCAAGCCTTTTCACTGGTTAGTTGTTTTCGATTTTGGTCATAAGTTGAGGACTACCTAAAGTTTCAGAGATTCTTTTTCACCTCGTCATAGGACGAGAACCAAGGAGGAAAAGATAGAGTTAGTGAACAGCAGGAGAGTTTGTCTCCGAGGGATCTGGGGTGATGGAATCAATGGAGGTTTTGTCCTGCGGACCCCTGCCCTGGTCAGAGGATGGACTGGAAGACCTTCATGGTCCCTTCCAAGGCTAAGATTTTGTGATTCTCTACCATTCTCAACAGGAAACATTATTCTCCTCTTCTTTATTTTTCCACCAGCAGGAAAACCAAAGATTCACCTGCAAGTCACCTTTCAAGAGGTAACAGAAAATCAGCCCAAGGCAGCCAGTGCCAGAAAGGATGGAGCCTGGGAAGCTCTTGGATCCCCTGTGAGACAGAAGCAGCCACAAAAGAAAACCACAAAAGAACCCATGAATGCTCAGAGTGTGGAAAATCCTTTGCTTGCCGGTCCCTCCTTTTGACCCACAGGAAGGTCCATGTGGGAAGTGGATCCAGTGAAGGATTGGAGGGTGAGAAATCCTTCTCTGGAAAAGACATGAAAAATTTCAGAAGCCCCCCCAGACTAAAGCCCTATAAATGTGAGGAATGTGACCTATGCTTTGGTCAAAGGTCACACCTTCTTACACATCAGAAAGTCCACACTGGAGAGAAACCCTATCAGTGTCTGGAATGTGGGAATTTTTTCCGTGAAAAAGCCCATCTGGGAAACCACGAGAGGATTCACACAGGGGAGAAACCTTACAAGTGCTGGGAATGTGGGAGGAGCTTTTCTTGGAAGGCAAGTCTTTGGGCCCATGAGAAGGTTCATGCAGGAATAAAATCTTACAAATGCTTTGAGTGTGGGAAATGTTTCACCCTGAGTTCATCTCTTCGGAGTCATGAGAAAACACACAGAGGGGAGAAAAACGAAAAGTGCCTCGAATGTGGGAAATGTTTTACCTGGAAATCAAGCCTGGTGCGGCATCAGAGACTTCACACTGGACAGAGACCCTTTGAATGCCCAGAATGTGAGAAACGATTTATGTTTTCTTCTGGACTTCGGGAACACCAGAAGAGACACAAAGGGGAGAAACCCTATCAATGTGGGGGATGTGGGAAAGGTTTTGTTACACAAGGAGAGCTTCAGCTTCATGAGAGAATCCACACAGGGGAAAAACCATACAAATGTGAGGAGTGTGGGAAATGCTTTACCCAGAAAGATAGCCTTGGAATTCATCAGAGGCTCCACACAGGAGAGAAGCCATATCAATGCGTAGAATGTGGGAAATGTTTTGCTCAACAGGGAGCCCTTTTGAAACATCGTAAAATCCACACAGGAGAGAAGCCATACAGATGCCTAGAATGTGGGAAATGTTTTACTCAAAAGGGAAATCTTTCAACACATCATAAAATCCACACAGGGGAGAAGCCACATCAATGCTTCGAATGTGGAACATTTTATAGTACCCCATCAAACTTTAGAAGTCATATGAAAATTCACACAGGGGAAAGAAATTACAAATGTTTAGACTGTGGGAGAGCATTTGCTCATTCACATTCCCTTAGAAGCCACAGCCGAATCCATACAGGAGAGAAGCCCCATAAATGCTCGGAGTGCGATAAATGTTTTTCTCAAAAAAATACTCTTGTGATACATCAGAGAACCCACACTGGAGAGAAACCATATAAATGTCCAGAGTGTGGGCAATGTTTTGCCCGAACTTCATCACTTCGCAAGCACACTAGAAGTCACACAGGGGAGTCGCCTTACAAGTATGTAGAGTGTGAGAAAACCTTTCATAGTAAATCTCACCTAAAAAGGCATCAGAAAGTCCATAGTAGAGAGAAACCCCTTCAGTTGTGAGGAATGTGGAAAACATTTTTTGAAATGTCACATCTTATAATTCCCCAGGAACTTCACACAGTGCCAGAAGGGAAATCCCACAGGTTTTTGGTGTGGGGGAAATCTTCACAATGACGATGTCAAGACTGCTAACATTGGATGTTCTTGCTTGCCATATATGAAGAAGCAAACACGTTTTATTTAACCTACATATCACTTCTAGAGTTAAAGTCAGACAATGTTAGAAAAGCGGGTGGGAAAGTATGTACTCAGGGGATAGTTAGCCAAAACAATATTTCAGTACAGTATTGCTAAGGTCAGCTGTAACCAGAGGAGTTACGGGAGGGAAAGTTCATACTTCAAACTAATTGGAGAACGTGATTGATGACTGTGAAATGAAGGAGTGAGTTATGCTTTGTTACGGGTGATTGGGGGTGGGAGGATTCAGTTTTTGGCTTCAATATGTACGTGCCTGCCGAAGCTATGTAGCAATAAAAGGATTCTTTAAGGTAAACAAAGCCTCAAAGTTCTTTGAAAAGCTGCTTCTTTCGGAACCATGACATACGAAACCAGCATGGTAATTTTTTGTCCCAGTTTCTTGTGCTTTTTGTACACCAAAGCGTCCGCACAGGAGAGGTTCCACAAATGCTTCAGCAGAAACCAAAATTTTATTTCTGATTTTTTTACTTTTCATTTTGGATATTAAGATTTTGGGGTCCAGAAGAGAAGAAGGAAACTCAGTTTAGACGCCTCAGATCATATGAGGTGATGGAAATGGCCTTGTGATTCCGTTACACCTAAAATGACAGGAATATCCTATTTTTCTCTTGAATGTGTATTTACCTCCCAGCCAGCCCAGAGCCCAAGGACCTCCTGGTGGTCTCCCATCCAGCACTGCCGAGCTGTCTTAGAGTGGCCAAAGCTGGCCAGGTGTGGCCCCTTAGCTGAGACAAGCAGAATGAAAGGGAGGGTCTCTCTCTGGGTCTGGCAAGATGGGGTTAAGGCAAGTCAGGAGTCCAGTTAAAACTCAGGAGCGTCTGAGAGAAAAACTGCAAAGAGGGAAAGGGTTTGTGCTAAGTGACCGAGAGTCTTTTTGGAGTTGGGCAGGATTAACAAATTCAGGAAATAAATAGAAACATGGAATAAATATCCTACAGCACAGCAGGCAGATGCCTGGGTAAAAGAAGGGCATTTGCTGATAAATTTTGTAATAATTTTGGAAAACTTTTTTGTAAGGAACAAAAATATTAATGGAAAAAATAATATTTTTGTTTTGGTCATTAGCTGGTTTTAAAATTAATAGCTGAAAGACAAAGATGGCAAAGTAAACATGAAAACGGGAGAGCAAATAGAATGGATGGGAAAAAAGTGTTTTGAAGAAATGACGCAACAGTGAGAAACCTGAGCATTATTTTGAAATACAAACTGTATATCAAAATAATTATGTTAAGGCGTGGGATGAAATCAAGAAGGATGTGTTAAGATGTGGAAATTACAACTGCTGTTGAGGAGAATTTCTGTGATTAAAAATGAATGTATTACCTACTTTCATGATGTTTCTGTTTTAAACAATACCTCTCTAAATAATAGGTGCACCCCTTAAGCCAGGAGTGTCAAACCTATGGCACGGGCGCCATCGCCCCAGCCCTAGGCCTTCAGCTGGGCTTTATAAAACCTTTTCACTTTAGGCCTCCATCGCCGCATGCAAAAAAAAAAAAAAAAAAAGTTCAAGCAATCAATCAATTTCAACTTTTTGCAGGGGAAAAAAGATCGCGCAAAGTTGGAATTGATTGATTGAACTTTTTAGTCCCACCCAGTCTGCCGTTACCACTGCAGCCACGCCCACCCAATGGGCCAACCCACCCAATTGGCCACACCCACCCAGCACCCGACGATACATAAGTGGGTTTTGGGTTGCAGTTTCGGCACTCGGTCTTTGAAAGGTTTGCCATCACTGCCCTAAGTGGGATTTTCCTCCAATGGGATTTTCCCATGTATTTTACCAGGAAACATAGATGGGGCAGCGTAGAAAACTCAGTGCCCTGCTAACTATACCCAAGCACTCCAAATTTGTTGGCAATGTCCATTTTGCTCTCCGAGTTCATGGTGACCTAACCCTTAGTCCGTGGTGGCGAACCTATGGACGCGTGCCACAGGTGGCATGCAGAACCCTCTCTGTGGGCACGCACACCGTTGCCCCAATCCTAGGCCCTGAGCTGCGTTGGACAAAACCTTTTCGCTTTAGGCCTCCACCGCCGTGTGCACAATCAATCAATTTCAACTTCTCATGAGAAAAAAAAAGATCTCGCAAAGGTGGAACTGATTGGTTGAACTTTTTAGTTGCACCTAGTCTGCCGTTACCACTGCAGCCACGCCCACCCAATGGGCCATGCCCACCCAATAGGCCATGCCCACCCGGCACCCAACGATACATAAGTGGGTTTTGGATTGCAGTTTGGGCACTCAGTCTCTAAAAGGTTCGCCATCACTGCCTTAAGCAATCTAGGTTTGTATGCCGAGAGAAAAACCAAGAGTTTAATTTAAAACTCTTCAGGATGCAAAGAAAAGAGGATAGTCTGATTGGGAAATTCTCCTTTGCAGCCTGTTTGGTTTGGACAAAAAGAATGAGCTTTGCTGAGAAAGAAGAGAATTTTAAAATAAGAAGAGCAGGAGCTGAAGTTTGGGTGGCCTGGTTTTTAAGTGGTACAACCTCAACAATCCTCGTGATCGAAGTGATGCATTGAGAATACGGAAGGGATGTAAGCCCGGAGGAGGGTGCCCGAGAAAACCCTGGCAGAGGAAGGCCATGTATGGGAGAGGAAAAGAGCAGGCAAAGAGAAACGGTCACCTATGGAGAGTTGTTAGAAAAAAGGAAGGTGGGAGAATAGAAGGGGAAGTCAGGAGATCAGCAGAGGGATTTAGCTTCTCACAGTTTTTCTCTGTAGAGTCGAGAGAAAGATTGAAAGTGGACAAAAGGAACACTTGGAATTAAACACAACCTATTGGGAGACAGAATTTGAAATTGAACTCCTGTATGTGCAAATGATGAACGTGAAATGGCTAAAATGTATCAGCTTTTTCTAAAAACTGAAATGGTCAAAAAACAAGTTAAAGAGTGTGCAGCTAGTCCTCGACTTACAACAGTTCATTTAGTGACCGTTCAAAGTTACAACGGCACTGAAGAAAGCAACATATGACCATTTTTCACACTTATAGCCATTGCAGCATCCCCATGGTCACGTGATCAAAATTCAGACAATTGGCAGCTGACTCCTCTTTATGACGGTTGTAGTGTCCTAGGGTTGTGTGGTCACTTTTTGCGACTTTCTGACAAGCAAAGTCAACGGGGAAGCCAGACTCATTTAACAACCACGTTGCTATCTTAACTGCAGTGATTCACTTAACAACTTTGGCAAGAAAGGTCCTAAAAATGGGGCAAAGCTCACTGTCTCACTTAGCAACAGAAAGTTTGGGCTCTATTGTGGTCATAAGACAAGGACCACCTGTATGACGAAATGGGCCAAAGGTTTTGGTTATTCTGTGCCATCAAGTCTGTGTCGACTCTTAGCAACTGCATGATAAACATTCTCCAGAATGATCTCTATCCCCAACCGGATCCTTCAGGTCCCCCAATGGATCCCCCATCGCCACTTTGCCTGGATCCACCCCCCCTGGTTGCCCTCTTCTTCTCATTCCCCCCATCTTTCTCAGCATCAGAGCCTTCTCCTTAAAGCAAGCATTGTTCCAGACTATCTCTGATTGATGACAGTTTGAGTCTGGTCTATTTATGCCTGGAGTGAGGATTCTGGTTGATTTCTTGTGTGATGTATTTGTCTGTTTTCTTGGTTGTCCATGATAACCTCAGGAATTTTCCCCAATACCAAAGTTCAAGACCTGTCCACCCTCTTCCTGTCCTGCTTCTTCAAAGTCCAATTTTCGTTTCCGTAGAAGGTCACAGGGAATATCTGAATATTCTGATCTTAGGTTTATGTTTCTCTAGCCCAGACATGTCAAACACAAGGCCCGGGAGCCGGATGCAGCCCGTGAAGTGGTTTCATGTGGCCCGCAAAGCCATCCTGGAAACAGTGAGGAAACGGCCCCCATTGCCTTGGCCCTGGCCCAGGCCAGCCGGGAGCCAATGTACAATTTTGTGGTGGCCATCTATGCTGAAACACATTCAGTCTTAGCTCCACAAGGCCATCCAGAAACAGTGAGGAACCAGCCCCTGCTGTGTAAGCCCTGCCCGCTGGGTGCATGCTGGGGAGGTGTCACCCTTTGTGAGGAATGAAGAAATGGACCATGCCTTGGCGCTTGCCCCGGTTCCACCCCCTTCTGCCAGAGACCCTCAGATCTGTCCCACTCCTGCCCAGGCCCCCACAGGCACCCTTGACGCGAATGATGTAGAGCTGGCCACGCCCACCCAATAGGCCACAACCACTCCATCCATGCCCACACAGTAGGCCGCACCCACCCTGGCCACACTCACCCAGCCCCCCCCCCACAGGGCAACCGCAATGCTGATGCGGCCCTCAATGAAATTGAGTTTGATACCCCTGCTCTAGCCTCCGTCAATAAAAGGGAGTTCTAGAATTCTTCTGGGTTTTGTTTCCTGATTTAGCCTCCCTTGAGGAGCTGAGATCCAGCTTCAAGGCCGGGTAGCATTTTCTCTTTCCTTTCTAAAAACAGGCAAGCATATTTAAATCTCTTTGCAACAACTTCTTCCTTTTGCAGACTTTGATCCTGGTTAGTTAATATCTGCTTTCCTTCTCCGCCTTTCTACCTGTGATGGAGAGGCAGTTTGGGGGGGGGGAGGGGGTGTCTTGGCAGCACAGAGCTTTGGGGGGGGGAGGCACCCTATCAATGCCCAGAGAGCAGGAAGACCTTCCGTCGAAGAACAAGCCATCAGAGGTTGCGCAAGGTGGAGAAGCTGGATGATGGTTTGGGTTGCAGTGAGAATCTTGTGAGAAGCCAAGTCTTCCTGCTCAAAACAGAGAATTCACACCTTATAAATACTGCGGGAAAAGATTCAGCTGCAGCTG